AGCTCAGTTTTTCTGTCCCAAAAGCTTATTTTTACTTTGCCTTAGTTTCTCCAATCATCAAAAGTTTTGTATAACTTCTATCACAGAACCTTTCTGCACTGGCCTAACCCAAGTTTTCCTTAAATTGGTGCAATCTGTCATAAGGAAATGTGGTGGTTATTATCAAAGCCTAAGAGAGAATCCTGGCCCGTGATCATGAGCTCATGTCTGTAAAGTGAAGATAATAATGGTATCTATTTTATCAGGTTGTTGGAATATTGTGAGGCAATACATGTTAAGCATTTACTTTGGTGGCTTTGCAATACTAAGAACCTCAGACGTTACCTAGTGTCTTGTCCTGTGCATGCTACCCACAAGCTCTATTTCCCAAGGCCCAGGAAATTGGCTACCCTGTTTGGTGGAATAGTTAGTGTGTCTGTTCTGCTCTGTGATAGTCGCCCATAGCCAGAGTGTAAGTTGGGAGAGGAAGAGGCACGCCCCCTTCCTGCCGAAGGAAAAGTCTGCTGTACTCTTCTGGGGACCTGGCTCTGACATCATTAAACAAGAGTGATCCATCTTGCTCTCTTGGAGCTGTGTTACCCAAATCCCACAAACTCCAGCATTTTATACTTTTAAGTCATTATCTCTTCTTCAGTCTGATAAATTCAGTCAGGATAATGGCCCTGAATGACTTTCAGAGTCGGACATGTCCAGGAATCATCAAAGATGCCATGATGGTCACTAAAGATCTGATGATGTTTTTTGTTGTACTCCAATACTCTTTTTGAAACTAGACAGTCCCTAGAACACAGTCAGAATTTCCATAAATATTTAATTAGACCAAATGTTCTGTCCCTAGACCACAACATGGTTTATTTGTACAGTGTTGCTGGTTTTCATTTGTTTTATGTTTTCCTTGTGTCTTCCTATCTCCCATTAGTTATTGCATCTTTCCACACACTTTGTGGGGGAGGAGGCTTCCCAAGCTGGTGTTGGTTGCCCGACCATCTGTCAGCCCCGATCAAGGAGGCCAGTTCAAGATGAAGAAAGGATAGCTCTTGTCTGCTCCCTCAGACCTATCCAAGCTCCCTCCTGGGGCCCTGAGTTGGGGCTGTTCTTTGATATACAAAGGAAATAGCCAGGGAAGATTATTCACTTCTCTTTTCTTCTTTTGAACTCACCCCTCTTCCATGGTTCTTTTAGCTTTTGTGAGGTGACCCAATGGGGTAGATCTCCCCAGGCTTCCTCCCAGCATGACTATCTCAGTATTTAGGCTTCCTGGAGTGTATCCTTAGGGAAATTTGGAAACTGTTCCTGTTTTTGATCTGAAGGAATCTACCAGGCGGAAAGCTAAGAAGAGACCAGGAGTACTTGTCTGTCACTGCAAGTACAGACAGACAGACAGACAGACAGACAGACACACACACACACACACACACACACACACACACACACCTTGTATACATATACACACATGATGTGAACATCTCTGTCTGCCCTATACCACCTATGCCCTAGAAGGCAAGTGAAAGTGCTCTCAAGTTCTTGCTAAGAAGGATACTCTAGGGGTGGAGGGAACAAAACAGGGGAAAAAGGCAAGAGAACAGAAAGGAGGATGCGGGATCCTGAACAGACCCAGAGCGCAGGGCCAGCGAGTGAGTGAGACGACCCAGGGCCCATGAATCCTCATTCGACCCAGGCTGCAGGCCCAGCATGGAACCCTTCAGCAGAACTCCCTGCAAAGAGGCTAGAGGCAAGACCCACCCAGCTGATTCAGGAGCAGAACATCTTGCCAGAGTGACACAAAGGGTTCAA